GTGTCATCTTCAATCTGTGAGATTCTTTCTTCTGTTTGATCTACCCTGTTCTTGAGACTTTCCACTGTATTTTGTAGTTCCCTGAATTGATTCTTCATTTCCAGGAGTTTGGTTAAACTTTTCTTCATTGTGTCTATTTCTTTAGTGAACTTTTGTTCTAGGTCCTGGAGGCTTTTTGTGGTTTCTTTGTGTTGGTTATTGAGTTGTTCTTGCAGGTTGGTAAGTGTTCTTATGATTCACATACGAAATCCTCTTCTGTCATTTTGGTTGCCTGATTTTTGTTGGTGTCTGTTTCTAGGGGGCTGGTGCTCCTCTTTGGGAGTGTGTTTTCCGTTTGGTTGTTAATATTTCCGGAGTTCCTTCACTGATTTCTTCCCATGTGGATCAGTTGTTGTTTCTTTCCTTTAGGTTTTGATTGGGTGTTCACATGTCTTGTTTAGTTTCTGAGCCAGTAGGTCGTGTCTGTGGGTGAGATTCAACCACTCCCTGTATAATGAGTCAGTGGGTGGCGTGAAAAGGCTGTGCAGGATGCCCTCCCTGTCAGTAGGTGGCGGTTGCCTGGAGCAACAGGCTACACTGTTGTTTTTGTGTCCTGTTATCAGCTCTTGTTCCTGTAGAGAGGCACTCTAGTGCCTCAGGTGGTGAGTGGAGCCCTGGGACTTCCAGGTGTGTCTCTCCCCTTCAGTGAGGGCTAGTCTAGGAGAGAGTCTTGGTGGAGCTGGGTTGGGTAAGCCTGCCCTCAGGCACCACCAATGCGGTTAGCAGGGGTCAAAGTTCTGTTCTCTGCTTCCAGGGAAAGCTGTCAGGGAGGGGCTGGAATGGTCTCGCTCAGCCAGAAAGTCTGGGTGTGGGTTGGGCTGTCTGAGACCCGCAGTCTGGAGTGGCCTTGCTTCTTTCCACCTTCCCCAACTCCGCAGCTACTCCTGGGCCTCTATCAGCAGGCCAGACCACACGCCACCAGGCCTGCCCTGGCTGTGATGCTGGCTGGGAGGTTCCCTGTGCAGGAACACAACCTGGGCTGGGCGTACGGCCTCCCTTTGGTATGAGGGTTGCCCTCTAGGACGCTGATCTGCCCCTGAAGGCACACACACCTCAGTAGGCTGTTCATAAATATCCCTTCTGTGCCCCAGGCAATGCGAGATCTCGGTGCACGGGATGTGGTCTGCAGTTCTGACCTCTGGGCCCTGGAGTTCAAACTGTATCCCCACCAGTGAGAGGAGTGCAGGTCCCAATTCACCCACAGGGAGCCCAAGCTGGGTCTATGTCTCTCAGCCTCAGGGTCTGCCCCGTTCTCCTGGGATCACCATGGCAGCAGCACCTGGGAGGGCTGGCGGGTGGGGAGCTCACAGTCTGAGTTCCCCTCAGTCATCTGTAGGGCCCCCAAAGGGAAGCTCCCATTCCCTGGAGGTGCCTCTAGCTGGTGGCTGTATTGTCTCTCTGGGCAGCTGGGTATGGTCAGCGGAGGGGAGAAGGAGGCAATATGGCGCCTGCGCGCGGCTCGGGTCTGTGCACACGGAGGTACCTGCGGGAGTTGGAAGCCTGGTGCCGCATCCACTACAGGCTCACCGCTCACTGGCAGTGGCCGTCGCTGGACTGGTGTCTGCAGGTCTCTCCACCCGCTGGGGAGCCACCAGCTGTCCTAGATGCAGGGGAGGGGAAGTTAACCGCTGCACCTACCCTTCCCACTGGTCTCTAGGCTGCTCTGGTGGCCTCAGCTTCCAGTTCTCCGCAACCTCCTCCTGTGGAGTCTCCCGTGGCCTCAGGTACCCCTCACTTCGACCGTCGTCCGCTGTATGCTCGTCTTCTTGCTTCTTTCTTCTAATTTCTGCTAGAATCTGTTTTTTCTGCAGATACACTCTGTCTGGCGGTGTTTCTCGTCTGCTGTCTTGAAGAGATGAATTTCTTATGATAGAATTTTTGTATGTCCGAGATGCACGTGTGTTCCTTTGTAACGAAAATGTAGGTTTTGTTCCATTCTCCTTTTAAATCTTAAAATTCTGTATTTTCAATGTCAACAATATTTTGTGAGAACTATATTGATACCATTTAAAATATTTGGTCATTTAGAATCTGGGACATAGTTTTTTGTTGTTGCTGTTGCTTTTCATTTAGGAAATAGTTAGACAGATCTATTCAACAGAGGTTACGTAGAATTTACCACCTAGGGTAGGGCCTAGGAAGGGAAACAGATGTTCTCCTGAAGGGCAAGGAAGGGGCAACACAGACAGATGATGACTCTAATAAAATATCTTTAAGGCTTATTTATTTACAATTATTCATTATGAAACTAATTGATTAAATGAGCTAAATCCAGAAAGAAAGGGCTTTATTTTTCTCTATCCACTGCCTGACAACCAGGTTCTTTTGGATCTCCCTCTGTCACTCCTGAATCCTGGGCAGATGCCATAAATTTTAGTGAGATGTCTCATCTTAGTAACTGCACCTCTGTTTCAGGCACTGAAATGTCCAGCCCAATCCAACCTAAGAGCAATCGCACATCTCATTCAAAATTCTGCTTGGCCCTAGCTCAGGCCTTTCTTGCAGTGAAGTGAGGAATGAATGTGGTCAGTTTATTTATTCTTCCTCCATCTTCTGTCTTCTCTATATCCTGGATGTCCCCAGGCCACTGCAGGGGAAGAGGGGGTTACACAAAGAAGAGCAAATCCGCCTGCAGTTAATATTGGATAAGGCAAGTGGCCATCACGCCCGTCCTCCTGTTGTGGCAGAGCCCACACACTGGCTCTGTCATGGGGTGGACCCCACATTGCACAGTTCCTTGGTGCTAATGGCACATTATCTGGCTGACCTCTTGAAGCAATCTCCCTTCCCCACTCCCTGCAATAACCCTCTTCTGCCTGACCCCATGGCCTCTTACTGCTATATTCCCTTTGCACAACAGGCTGCTTGATTTGCTGAGGTCCCATCATGACAACTCAAGCCCAGCTATCCTTTCCATGGTTGAGGCCATGTGAAAAAATTCATGTACTTCTGCCACGCCAACAATGGAAGGCAGGTTGCAGTCACTGCTTCCCTTCTCTCATCCCGCCCCTTTGGGCTGCCCAAGCCAACCTCTCACCTTCTGAATCTTCAGCTGGCAAGCATTCAACAAATACTTACCAAGCACCTATATTTGCCAAGCCCTATCACCAGTCTCTATGTCACAGTGCCCATCCCCACCCCAAACTTCAGTAGACACTCATCAAGCTCTTTCAAAAGCTCTCACCCCACACCCATTCTGCTACACTGAGACTGTGCACTTCTGTTACTCTGCAAGCTTCCAGTCTCAGAGTAGATACCAGGCTGCTTTTCTACTATGCTTGGAGCCCTCTTTGGAAGAAATGCAAAGCAATCTCCCCATGGTCTAGAACAGCAGTCCCCAACCTTTTTGGCACCAGGGACCAGTCTCAGGGAAGACAATTGCTCCATGGATGGTGGGGGGACGGGGGAGGGCATGGAGGCGGAGCTCAGGCGGTGATGTGCAGCCCTGTTTTCCAACAGGCCACGGACTGGTACTGGGCCATGGCCTGGGGTTGGGGACCGCAGGTCTAGAATCTCCACTTAATGACTCTTTAATCACCATTTTGAATCCTGTCTTGTGGAGATGGGTAATACAGATTGATAGTTACCAGTCTCTTCCTTGGTAAGTTCTGTGGGCTGTGTCCAGTATCTCTGTTTAAAATGTGGGAGCATTTACTGTCTTTTGACAGCTTTTGGGTTTTAGCCAAAATCCTAACACAATCAGGAAAGTCCCAATCATTATTCAGTTACAAATAAATTTGGCTCTGAGTTTCCTTGTCTTTCACCTCAATAACCTATGACGAAGTCTGTATTTCCCTTTATACATGTACCTTATTATGCCATGAGTCCCACTGGTTAATTACATATTTGTGTAGCAGGGTAAAAAATTACATAAACTTTTACACAGATATAAAACAAAATACTTTTCTATATTCCATAGCTAATTTTCTCCCAAGCCCCAAAGTTGAACAGAATGATCAGTTTCATCCAGAGCCCCCTGGGGATCCACAGGACACCCCAACAACCGGCGCGTACAATCCTGAGGTCGCCGGTTGCCTTGCTGCCATCAAGGCACATAAATTCCTGCTCACACAGAATCCACTCGGGAAAGGAGAGGGGAACCCTTGAAAGAATGAGCATTTGCTCAAAAGAGATGGTTTCAATTTGAAAAAGAATGATTAAGCCAGAAAACACTGAGCTGCCTCTAATTGGCAAGTTGAGCACCACCTCCTGCCCCACCCTAATTCCCCAGTTGAAACACAGTTTTCATTAAGTCTTTCCTGAAGGCATGCAGATGATGTTGGTACCCCCAAACAGTGACTTAGAACAATAGTCTGCATCAGAATCCAAGTTAATAAGGGTTGCTTAAATTGGACATTCTGTTTTTTTTAAGTTTTCACATCATCATTTTCAGCCACTAGTGTTAGGTTCATATTAAAAGCAGCTCTAATGTTAGCCCAAAAAAGTCCATGTTTGCTCTTCTCCTTGGGCCATTCCAAATAAGTCCGTTGTGCCATGAGAGCCTTCAGCTTGTGATACTTGCTGGGTATGATGTTCTGTGGGATGGGCTCCAGCAAGATCAGGATTAAGTTGTCAGATCCTTCGTGGAAGAGATTGTGGTGGGCAAAGTAGAGTTCATAATGGCACCACTCGCTCTGGACAAAGTGGGGAGACAAAACAAAGATGGACTTGTAACTCTTCTCAATGCAATTTATGATATTTTCCACAATGCTCTTGCCAGGAACAAAGTTTCTCTCATGGAGGCAAATCCGTATATCTTCTTTTTCTAGGCAAGGCACCAACTCATTCTTCACCCAGACAGAATCATGTTCACTATAAGAAATGAAAGCATGGAACTGGAGAGTTCTCTGGAGTTCCTCTAAGGGTATGTTCCTAGCCCTGTGCCGGGTCTGGGTCCACTGGCACACCATCCGGAGATACCAGGGCAGATCCAAGTAGATGCAGAGGAAGGTCACGGTAACGGCCAGCACCAGCGTGGTGGCCCCAATGGTGACCATCAGCAGAGCTGTGTTGCAGGATAATGGAGACATGTGAACGTCTTTTAGAGGGGTTCCCCTATAGCTTTCTGGGTAGTCACACTTATAAGAATCAGGCCAGCCCTCCACCACTTCACTTGATACTTGGCCTATATTTTTGACAAATTCTCTTAGCTCGCAGGTACATTGGAATGGATTGTTCCCTGCTTTTATTGACCTAACCTTCTGGCAGCTCTGGAAGAAATCAGTGGATGGCTGGGAAACCGAATTATGGTCAATGATCAGTACAGAGAGGCTGCTAAAGGCGCCACATCCAGGAAGGTCAGTTAAAGAATTGAGAGCAACATTGAGTTCTTGCAAAGCTTCCAGAGAGGTGACATCTTTAGGGATCCTCTCTATTCTGTTACTGTGAAGATCAAGTACCTTGATCCTGGGAGGTAAACATCTGAAAACAGAGTCAGTAAGTATATTTGATGACAAATTTAAGACAATTATACTCTCAACCCAAGTGCAATTTTCCTTATATCTATCAAATCCCAAAGAATTGAAGCTAACATCCAGTATTGCCAAAGATGGCATATCCTTAGTCATGAGACCTACACTGAATAGGTCTTTTAGTCCATTCTTTTGTAAGATAAGTGTCTCTAATCTAACTAACGTGGTACAATTTTGAAAAATACTATCTGTGAAAACATTCTGGGTAAAGTTCAAAAACTTAAATGTGCTTGGTGCCTCAGGACAAAGCATGTGTATAAGAGGTGAATCTGATATGGTTAGCATCATAATGTTCATCTCAGAAAACACTCTGTATAATACTGTCTGTGAAAAAAGAGGGACTCGGTTGGTAACATGTTCTATTTTCAATGCTTTCAATGTTGTTTTAGAATACATAAAGTCTTCTTTATTAATGCTTTCAACTATTATTAAATTGTAAATATTGAGATATTCCACAGATCTGGGCCAAAGAAACTGAAAGACTCTAACCAAGCATTTCCAAGTTGTTTCCATGTGAGAGAGGGTAAAATTCAGTAAGGTTGAACCTCTAGTGAGTTCTGATAAAAATTTAATTAAAACTCCACAGTTCTCATCATTCAATTTAATATTAGTCAGTTGCAAGCACCCTAAAGTATTAACTGATATGTTCACCTGGACAGAGAATAAATTATTTGGGTGAAAAACAAGGTGAAGTGTTTTTGTATTTAGAATTTGAAGACTTTCTGCCTCATTTTCTTTTACATAATAATTCCCTAAATCCAGAAGGATATAACTTAGGTGCAAGTGAGCTATTGGCAGCAGATCTAATTGTTGTAACTTCATAGCACTTAATCCCAAGAAATTCAGTTGTGTCAAGTTGCCAAATTCCTTACAGATGGGCAGGGCTTCGAAGTCATTGAATGAGAGGTCTAAATGCTTGAAACTCACAATAGGATAGCAGGATATCTTTCGCAACTGATTATGAGATAAATCCAAATATTCCAAATCCTGATTGAACTTGAAAATACTAAAATCAAGTCGCTGGATTCTATTATGGGAAAGTCTCAAAACTTTCAACCCTGACAGAAAGCTGATGTCAGAGATCTGAAGCACAGATATGTTGTTTTGAGACATATCTAAGACTTTGGTTTTTGGTGGCAGGTCTTTTGGAACGTGAGTAAGGCCTATTTTTGACCTATTTATTGCAAATTCACTTTCATCAGACAACTGGATTATGGTTCCAACTATTACAGTCATAACACAAACAAAATGGAAGCTTCTGACAGTAGGTTCTTTGTTTTTGGCCATGATGTTGCAGTGGCTGTCCAGAGGGTTGTTGTTCTTCAGATAATCTTGATATGAGTTCAAATTCTAAAAATATAATATACATTAAGATAGGTAAAGGTTGAATGATTTCTTTCAAACCTCCACTTACTAAACATAAAATCTAAATTATTTCCTCATTCAATATTAAAGTCATTTTTTTCTCTATAATTTAATGTGATTTTTCCGTCACTCATGCAGTTTACTCATACCAGAAGGACAATATAGACCTTGTTATCAAAGAATTGTGGTTGTGTGTGATTTTTTTTTTTTTTTTGCTGTGAGTATATGTGGTGCTTGTTTTTCCATTTTTGGGATACTTCACTTAGTAGTATGGGTTCAGCTCTAACCTGAAAACATAAGATGTGCTATATCACCGTTGTTTCTAGAGCTGAATAGTACTCATGGTATACATATACCACCATTTATTAATCCATTCTGATTGATGGGCACTTGGGCTGTTTCCATAGTCTTGCAATTATGAATTGTGCTGCTATAAACATTCGAGCCAGGTATCTCTTTTTGTAGAGTGTCATTGGATCTTTTGTGTAGATACCCAGTAATAGATTGTTGGATCAAATGGTAGATCCACTTGTATCACTTTAAGCTATCTCCATATTGCTTTCCAAGAGGTTGAACTAGTTTGCAGTCCCACCAGCAGTGTAGTAGTGTTCCTCTCTCTCCGCATCCACACCAGCATTTATTGTTTGGGACTTTTTGATAAAGGCCATCATCACTGGAGTTAAGTGATATCTCATTGTGGTTTTGATTTGCATTACCTGATGATTAGAGATGTGAGCATTTTTTCAATATGTTCGTTGGCGATTCTTCTGTCTTCTTTAGAAAAGTTTCTGTTCAAGTCCTTTGCCACTTTCTAATAGGGTTATTTGATTTTTTCTTGCTGATTTTCGTGAGTCTAAGTATATTCAGTTATCAGCACCTATTGGATCGTAGGATGCCAAAATTTTTCTCCCATTCTCTGTAGGTTGTCTGTTACTTTCATGCTATTCTTTGGCTGTGCAGAAGCGTTTTAGTTTGATCATTCCATTATTTATTTTGTTGCTGCTGTGATTGCCTTTGAGGACTCTTCATAAACCTTTGCCTAGGCCGATGTCTAGGAGAGTGTTTCAACTTTTTCCTCTAGAATTCTAATAGTTTCATACCTTAGGTTTAAATCTGTTACCCACCATGAGTTGATTTTGAAGGTGAGAGGGTGGGTCTGCCTTACGTTCTACAAGTACTATCCAGTTTTCCCAGCACCATTTATTGAAAAGGGATTCTTTTCCCCAGCGTATGTTTTGTCCTGCTTTGTCAAAGATTAGATGGCTATATGAGGAGCCGTTTTATATCAGGGCTCTCAGAATATGTTCCACTGTCAATATTCCTATTTTTGTGCCAATATCATATTGATTCAACTACTAAACTTTGTAGTATAGTTTGATATCTGGCATATTAATACCTCCCATTTTTTTTTTGTTGCCTAGAATTGTCCTTGATATTCGGGTTTTCTTTGCTTCCATACGAAGCGTAAAATTATTTCTTCTATATCTGCGAGAGATGTGATGGGATTTTAATAGGTATTCATTGAATCTGTAGATCAGTTTGGGAAGTAGTAGACATTTTGATGATGTTGAGTCCTGGCGATCCACGAGCATGGTATGGATTTCCAGTCTGTTTACATCCTCGTGCTATTTCCTTCCTCAGTGTTTCATAGTTCTCGCCTGTAGAGGTCTTTAACCTCCTTGGTTAAGTATATTCCTAGGTACTTAATTTCTTTTGCTATTGAAGGGAATTGAGTCTCTGATTTGGTCTCAAATTTATTGTTTGTTGGCGTATATGAATGCTCTGATTTCTGTGTATTTTTTAATCCTGAGATCTTACTAAATTCATCTATCTCGAGCTTCAGGATTTCTGTTGAACTTTGGGGTTTTCCTAGTATAATTCATATCATCAGCAAAGAGTGGGAAAAAGAGTTGATTTTCCTGCCCCTATTGGATACCTTTTAATTCCTTTTCCCTGTTTGAATTGCCGGTAGCCAAGACTCCAGCACTATGTTGTAATAGAAATGGAGAGATCCGTGGGCAGCCTTGTCTGTTCAAGTTCTAAGGTGGGATTCCTTCATTATTTCCGATTCAGTATGATGTTTAGCTATGGTCTGTCGTTATATGCTGTATTCATATTTGGTAGTTCCTTCTATGCTAATTTTATTTAGTGTTCGTATATGAAGGTGTTAATTTGTCAAAGCTTTTCTGCATCTATTGAAGAATCATTGGTCTTTGTTTTGCTTCTTTTATGTGGTGAATGCATTTATATAGATTTTAGTATGTTGAACCATCCCTGCATCCCTGGATGAAGCCCACTTGGTCGTGAATGGATTATTTTTTGATAAGCGTCTGGATTCAATTACTAACGTTTTGTTTAAAATTCTTGCATCTATATTCATAGGGATATTGGTCTGTAGTTTCTTTTTTTGTTGCATCTTTCCTGTTTTGGTATCAAGTAAATTTCCTTCATAAAAGGTGTCCAGGAGGTTTCCGATTCTTCTCGATGTTGTGGACATAGTTTCTGCAGATAGTTGCTAGTTCTTCTTTGTAAGTTGGTAATTCGGGATGTGAAGACATCTGACATGGACTTTTCTTTTTAGGAGATTTTAATTGCTGTTTCTATTTCAGCTCTTTTGAGATTGTCTGGGTTTTCGGGAATCTATTTCTCTGGTTGACCTAGGAGTCTGTGTGTTTTTAGAAATTTGTTTCTATATCCTCCCATTCTTGCAGTTTGTGTGCATAAAGTTTTTTAGTAGTATTCATAAATTATATCTTGTATCTTCTTTGGGATCAGTTTGTGATTCTTTTTTGTTCTGATGGAGCTTATAGAGATTTCTCTTTTCTGCTTTTTCATTAGCTTAGCCAGTGGCTGTCAATATTGATTTTTTTTTTTTTTTTTTATTTTTTCAGACCAACTTTTAGTTTTATTAATCTCCTGAATAGCTTCCCTGTTTTCAATTTCATTTAGTTTCCTGATTGATCTTGCTGATTTCACTTCTTCTGCTAGGTTTGGGGTTGGGTCTGTTCTTTTTCCAGCTCTTTGAGTCGTTCATTAGATTGTCTATTTTGATTCTTTTGTCTTTTGGTTATAGACATTTGAGATAAACTTTCCTTCAGAACTGCTTAGCTGGGTCCCAGAGGATTTGATAACTTGTCTCCCACATTCACTTCATAGAATTTTTTATTTCCATCTTATTTCTTCATTTATGAAGTATATATAGTAGGAGTTTGTTAATTCACGTTTTGTGTAGAAATGTGAGTTTCTGTTAGGTTGATTTCTACTTTATTTCCACTGTGATCTGAGAAGGTACATGGTAGATTTCTATTTTTTTTAATTTCTTGAGTATTTATTTAGTCCTAGGATAGGTCAATCTTAGAGAATGTCCCGTGACTGTTGAGAAGAACGTATATCAGCAGTGGATTTTGGGTAGATGTCTGTAGATGTCAGTCAGACCCAATGTTCTAGTTTGTTTAAGTTCATATTTCTTATAATTTCTGTTTGGAGGTATCGTCTTGTGCCGTCATGGGTGTTGAAATCTACGGTGATTAGGAGTTGGTATAATCAATTTGTTAGATCCAGTAGATTTGCTTTATGAACTGGGTGCACTAAGTTGGTGCATTATATTTAAAATTGTATCTCTTCTTGTTGAACTGTGCCCTTCACCATTAATAATGACCTCTTGTCTTCACTACTTTTTTGGTTTAAACACTAAATCATCTGAAATTAGAACTGCCACGCCAGCCCTTTTTTGGTTCCACTTGCCTGGAAATACTGATCTCACCCTTTTCTGTTTAGTCTATACGCATCCTTGCAGGTTAGATGTGTTTCCTGAAGACGACATATACTTGGCCTGTATTTTCTTATCCAATTTCCAGCCTATGCTTGAGTGGAGACTTAACCATTCACCTTTATTGAGAGAACTAATGGTAAGGTAATACTGTTCATCTGTTGCATTGGATTTGTTGCTTGATTCTCTCTTGAGCCATTGTATTATCTGGCCTTTAATCTTTGGGTTTCGGTTGTTTTATATTCGTAGTTTTTATATGATGTTCCGTGTGTAACACTGCTTTGATACTTCTTGTAGGGCTGGTCTGTCTGTTGATTCTCTGAGACTTGCTTGTCTGAGAAGTCTTATTCTCCTCCATATACGAAGCTTAGTTTGCAGGGAATAAGATCTAGGGTGGCATTGTTTTGTTTCAGAAGAGTGAGAATGGGCCCCAGTCTCTCCTTGCTTGTAAAGTTCATTAGAGAAGTCTGGTGCTATTCAATTGGCTTTCCCTTGTATGTCACTTGCTTCTTCGTCTCGCAGCTCTTAGAAGGGCCTCTTTAGTTGATATTTGGTCAGTCTGATGACTGTATGTCGTGACATCTTCCTGTTTGCATTGAACTCAGGGGTCTCTGAGCTTCTTGAACTTGTATATCGAGATTTGAGCAAGGCCTGGTAAATTTTCCTGTATTATATCTTCAAATAGCTTGTCCAACCCTTGAGTGTTATCTTCTTTCCTTCTGGTAACCCTATGACCCTCACATTAGGTTCTTCACATAATCCCACATCTCTTGCAGGCTTGCTCTTTTCTTTGTTCCTCTGCTCTATCTCTGTGACAGTTTATTTAAGAGAGTGTCATCTTCAATCTGTGAGATCTTTTCTGTTGATCTACCCTGTCTTGAGACTCACCACTGTATTTTCGTAGTCTCCTGAATTGATTCTTCATTTCCAGGAGTTTGGTTAAACTTTTCTTCATTGTGTCTATTTCTTTAGTGAATTTGTTCTATGTCGGAGTTTTTGTGGTTTCTTTGTGGTTGGTATGAGTTGTTTCATGGCCAGGTTGGTAAGTTTCTATGATTCCATACGAAATCCTCTTCTGTCATTTTGGTTTGCCTGATTTTGTGGGTTGTCTTCTGAGCGGGGCTGAGTGCTCCTCTTTGCGAGTGTGTTTCGTTGTTGTTAATATTCCGGTATTCCTTCCACTGATTTCTTCCATGTGGATCAGTGTTGTTTCTTT